CCCTTGTAGAACTCAGCAAGGAGAAGGATAGGGGTCAAAACTGGAATTAACTGGCTCTGGTGCCACCTACTGTTGGGCTCCCTGCCGGCCACCCTATCAGTCTCAATGGGCCCCGACCACTGCTGATCATCTACATTGACCTGCAGCGGCTCTCCAGGATTTCACACACAGAACATTCCCTGGGTTGAATATGGGACCCTTCTGCATGCAAAGTAGATGCCCTACCACCAAATTATAGCCCTTTTCTATACCGAGTCAGTGCATTGGTCCATAACTAGCTCAGTATTGCCAGCAGTGCCTGGCTCTCCAGGGTTTCAGGCAAACCCCACTGGAGATGCCAGGACTCTCCCATGGGCTTCCAGGAGGGAGAAAAAGTGACCGAGAAGGAACTGTTGAGATGGGCAGTGAGCTCCCCCACCCCCAAATTTCCAGGACAAAATGGGGGGGTAATGTTTCAGCCACACAAACACAGTTAAAATATTGATAGCACAGCCTCTGTCTTGGGGGCAAGACCCCTGCCTATTTGCTTATGTAACTCTTGCAAAATAATATACACAGCAATGGTATAACCTGGGATTTACAACCACTTTACCGAGTTGCCGTGCTCTGACTTGACAGTAAGCACAAACCCCTCTGACTTTGCGTGCCAAAAACGTGCATGTTTTCCAAGCCAGGAAGAGAGCAGCTAGAGTCTCACGGAGAAGAGAAGAGAGATTGTGTTTATGCTTCCTGATTTACAATGTTAAAAAGAGGGGATGGAGGGAGATTCATCGCATGAGAGCGAGCCGAACATTTGCAAGACGGAGGATTCTGAGCCTTTGAAGTGCTGTAGCAGCAGACAAAGCCCCTCACATTTCAAAGTGTCCTCTCCGCACCAGACAAAGACACAGACTTTGAGACCAAAAGAAGAAATAAATCAGTAAGTTCAGCCTTACTGGTGGACAGCTCTCCATCAGCAAGGTAATTGCTGACAATTACAGGCTGCAAGGGATTCCTTAAATACAAGACAGGAATTTCTTTTAAAAAGAAAGGAAGGAAGGAGCTGTCTTCATTTCTTTCAGGGACACAGGGTTGCACCCAACATTAGTCCTATTTAGAGTGAACCCATTGAAACTGATAGACATGAATCTACTCTGAATAGAGATGCAAGAAGCCATCATTTTCTGTTTCTGTTTTTGCTGCATGCAGCACTGTCTCCATTCCACTGCAGTCCATCTGCTGTCCAAAACTGCATTATTCATCTTGCTGCCCACTGCAGTAAAATTAAATAATCCAGATCTAGATGGACCAATGGTTTGGTTTTTGTGTACAGCAGGGGTGGGGAGCCCCTCCAGATGTTACTGAACTCCAGCTCCCATCAGTCCCAGCCTGCATGGCCAATGGTCAGGGATGAAGATGGGAGTTGTGGTCCCAAAACATCTGCAGGCACAAAGGTTAGCCAGCCCAGCTGTAAGCAGCTTCATATATTTATACTGCGTTGTGTCCAAGGTTAGTCCTACTCAGGCCACATCTGCACCATACATTTAACACAGTATGACACCAGTTTAAGGACGTCTTCCCTCCCAAAAAATAATAATCTGGAAGCTGTAGTTTAAGAGTCCTGTGGGTTGTTAGAAAACCCCTCTTTCTCTCACAGAGCTACAATTCCCAGAGTGATTTAACCATCAATCTTCCCCCAAAACTCTGGGAATTGTAGCTCTGTAAGGGAAATAGGGATCTCATAACAATTCTCAGTGCCCGGGCTTTTTTTCCACCTCTCAGGTGGGCGCCATTGCCATTATAAGAGAACAAGGGAGGCGTTCATGGTGAGTTCTGGCACCCCTTTTTTCTAGGGAGGGGGAAGCCTGCTCGGCACCCTTAATAAACTGCAGCTCCAAGGATTCCTTAGGGGAAGATATTAAAGCTGTGCCATTTAAAGCACTGGTATAATAGTGCTTTAATTGAAGGTGTGGGTGCAGCCTCAGAGACGGCCCTATGAAATCAGTGAGCATGACTGCAATAGGCCCATTCACTTTGACGGCTATACGCCAACTAAGTCCTACTAGCTGAAATCAGTCGGCCTAAGTTAGTCGTGTCTATTAACTTCAACGGTTCCACTCTGAATGTAACTGACACTGAACGCATCCCATTATGGTCCAGGGGTGGAGAGGCTGCTCCACCAAGCTTTCAAGATACGGGCAACGTAGTAATTGGAAAGAGCAACAAGACAAATACGGGAGACCCAGTGCAGCGACGGCACGTACCTCCGTTCATAGCCCAAGCACCATGGATGCCCTCGACAACTTGGATTCCACACTTTAACCAACCGAGAGAAGGAGCTGATGCGTGGCTGTCGGTGACTGACAATTGCAAGTTGTTGCTCTGCACAGACGTTTGGCCTGGAGGGAAAAGAAAGATGTTATTTCTTTGCGCAGTTGAACAGTGGGACTTTCTTTTCAGGCACAGGGCACAAACCTGGCCCTCAGACTATGCTTCCTCTCCCTGGGCCACATCTCTAACTTGCTCTCCTTGATTGCTTTTGCCCGGTTGGAATACGTCCTTGATCTTTGGCCATGCTTTCCTCTTGCCTGGACAGATGATGCCAAAAAGTGTGTGTAGGAACTAGCCTACCGTAGAAAGGCCAAATCTACATGTATTGCTCCTGCTACGTTTCCCTCTGGCATCTGCCCCTCAGGAAAGAATGCAGCCCTCTGGCTGAAAACAGGTGGTGCACCCCTACTTTTCAAGGTAGGCATCACGGTTGCCTTCTTTCAAAATAATTTAGGGATTGGCACACAGAGGATATGGATTGCCTAGTGATTATGATATGAATCCCTCCCCACCACCACCACACCCACACTATTTTGGGTGGGGGGAGGAAATAACCTTTCAGGAATGCATCATTATTTAGAATTAGCTAGCAGCATAATGCAAGAAAACACAATTCAAATGAAATTGAGGGATGGAAATGGATCCAATATCAGTCCTATCTGAAAATAATTTGTTGTATCCACCTAATTCCTCCTGCTGTTTTTGTCCATGGAGTTTTCTTGGCAGGGATACTGGAATGGCTTGCCAGTTCCTGCTCCAGGTGGTAAGATTGCCGGAGGAAATATCAACAACCTCAGATATGCAGATGACACAACTATGATGGCAGAAAGTGAGGAGGAATTAAAGAACCTTTTAATGAGGGTGAAAGAGGAGAGCGCAAAATATGGTCTGAAGCTCAACAATAAAAAAAACTAAGATCATGGCCACTGGTCCCATCACCTCCTGGCAAATAGAAGGGGAAGAAATGGAGGCAGTGAGAGATTTTACTTTCTTGTACTTTCTGCAGATGGTGACAGCAGTCACGAAATTAAAAGACACCTGCTTCTTGGGAGAAAAGCAATGACAAACCTAGACAGCATCTTAAAAAGCAGAGACATCACCTTGCCAACAAAGGTCCGTATAGTCAAAGCTATGGTTTCCCCAGTGGTGATGTATGGAAGTGAGAGCTGGATCGCCGAAGAATTGATGCTTTTGAATTCTGGTGCTGGAGGAGACTCTTGAGAGTCCCATGGACTGCAAGAAGATCAAACCTATCCATTCTTAAGGAAATCAGCCCTGAGTACTCACTGGAAGGACAGATCCTGAAGCCGAGGCTCCAATAATTTGGCCACCTCATGAGAAGAGAAGACTCCCTGGAAAAGACCCTGATGTTGGGAAAGATGGAGGGCACAAGGAGAAGGGGATGACAGAGGACGAGATGGTTGGACAGTGTTCTCGAAGCTACAAACATGAGTCTGACCAAACTGCGGGAGGCAGTGGAAGACAGGCGTGCCTGGCGTGCTCTGGTCCATGGGGTCACGAAGGGTCGGACACGACTAAACAACAACAACAATTCCTCCTGAATGGTCCTATGTTAGTTGCTCCCATTCATTTTGGTGCATCTGCTCTAATTAATGCTGGATTCGACCCAGATTCCACCCCCCACCCCCTGCCTCTCAATATAAAGACTGCCCACTCTTTCCTTGTTCCTATTTCCCACTTGCTTTTTGCTGGCTGGAAAACTGCAAAGTTAAGAGTCACTTTGCCTCTGGCCCTGCCAGCCACTGACGTGTGTGTCCCCCCCTTGTTGACCACTAGGGAATGTGGCCCTCGGGATCCAAGAAAGTCCCCCACTCTGGCTCTAACTACTACACCAGCATCCCAGCCACTCTAGGTGAGGAAACGCCAATCCTACAGACATTGCACGAGTCACATTTGGCTCTCCAGGATTCCATAACCCCCAAACAGAAATGTTTGTTTACAGCCAGGCTAATTTTGTTCTTCATTCAGCTAAAACTGTGTCCTGAGAGTGAAATCTATTGTCTCCAGGGAAGCTGGAACGGAGAGGCAGGATGTGCTAAGCTAAATCAAGAGCTCATCAAAAGAAGTGTTCCAGTCAGTGATGATGAGTTAAGCTAACAGGGCTAGATTAAAGGCTGCAAGGGAGCCTCAGGATAAAACCTATGTGTGTGGGGAGGGAGGAATCCTCCCCACCTGTCTCTACTTTACCGGGACGTGCAGAGATAAACGCAGTCCTGGGCTGGGCTGCAGAACTGCCAACTTTTGCTTTCAGAGCTTTTGGCAGGTGAAGTTGAAAGGCTTTGGGTCTCAGCCAACGCTAGCCCTACTCAGAGCAGACCTGTCGACATTAATGGATCTAAAGTTGTCGTGTCCATTAATTTCAAAGGGCTTGTTCCAAGTAGGTCCAGCATTGGATATAACCCTTTTAAGTATATCCAAAATGGAGCAGAGCTTTGCTTCCTTTAAAAACAAAAACAAACCTAAGGACAAAAGGGTGTTCCTGAGAGTACACAGAGTGCTTTTACTCCCATTCTGAGCACATCAAACATTTGATTGAGCGCATTCATTTGGCAATTGGATCGCTGAGGACCCAAACATGCAAGCTGCCTTTGAACTGAGCCAGAGTGTCCATGCAGTATTATCTATGCTGACTGCCAGGGTTTGAGGCAGGGGTCTTCCCCAGAATTACCTAGAGAGGCCTGGGATTGAACCGGGACCTCCTGCATGCAAAGCAGATGCTGTTACCATGAGCTATGGCTCCTTCCTCAATGGAACACACAGCATTCGCTTCAAGTTAGACCACTGGCCCATTGAGCCAATATTATCCGTTCTGAGTAGCAGCAACTCTCCAAGACCCCAAGAGAGAGAAGACTGTCTCCCATTATCTGCTCTCCCAACTCCGTTAATTGAACCACACCACACCTTCCTTGAGCCACACACACGGTTGACCAAAGAGTACAAATCCAAATTTCCATATATCAGGGATTCCAACTGCACAGTCTTTGGGTGTCTAACCAGAAGTCTCATTGAGTTCAATGGGCCAGGTAAGGGTGTTTAGGCAGAAGAGCAGGTATGTCTTGTTGCTGCTTTTGTTAGACAACAGGGAAACCTTCCACAGCAAATCATCCTGCCACACCCAATTTATCTTCTCCCTACAATGGACTAGAATACTCAGACCAGCCTTTGCCAGCCAGGTGTGCTCCAGATGTTTTGGACTACAACTCCCATCAACCCCAGCCAATCTGATAAACCTCCAGATGTAGTGCAAAACATCTGGAGGGCACCAGGTTGACAAAGGCCGACGGAGATTTGCGGTGAGCCAATCCAAAGGGCAATAAATCCACTTGAATCCAAGCCTTCTGGGGTTTGACTGGGTTGTAATTCAGGCTACAACGGCTTTCTCAGAACGCATTTGCACTCAACCAGCCTAGGTTATCCCTGCCTCAAGTTGCTCAGCTTATAAACTTGACGAGTTTTCCAGAAATAGGGGAAATGTCATCATGGTGGAGTCTTTCAAAGCGCATCAATGACATGATCCTGTCCCCCCGCCCTCAACCCCAACGCCTAACACACATATCCCATCACAGGGCAAACAACATATGGAGAAGATGGTCAGGATTTACTATGTTGTTCAATCCTGGTTCGGTTTACAAAGGAAAACAAAGATTTCGCTGAGTCGAGAATGGCGCTCTTGGCCAGAGCTCAAGCTTGTAAGGAAACTTTCCAAAGATTCACACAGTCGTCTGCCGAGCGCCAGAGCTATAAGCTTTAATTGCGAAGAGAGGAAGACAGGAGGCAAATACTGTGCTCGTAAAAATGAGCAATCCTTTCAACTGAGCAGCGTGAACAACTTTCTCCTGGTTGAGCTCTTAAGATGGCAGCCTTGAAACACACACTTCCTTGGGGTGGGGGTGGGACAACTGAAAGCCCTTCCAGAAATCCATTTTATTCTGCATTTGCAATGATTTGAGCTCATGATCGTATCAGGGCAGTTATACACAATCCCACTTCCAATACTGTTTCAGCCTGCAAGAGTTCCGGGACAGATGTCCTGTACAGTGGTACCTCGGGGTAAGTACTTAATTCATTCCGGAGGTCTGTTCTTAACCTGAAACTGTTCTTAACCTGAAGCACCACTTTAACTAATGGGGCCTCCTCCTGCTGCCATGCCGCCAGAGCACGATTTCTGTTCTCATCCTGAAGCAGAGTTCTTAACCCGAGGTACTATTTCTGGGTTAGCAGAGTCTGTAACCTGAAGCGTATGTTACCCAAGGTACCTGTGATGGGATGATGAGCTGCTTGTGCGTAAAATAGTATCCCCTCAGAGTTTGTTCAAGTCCACAAACCTCTGTCTGTGACGGAGCCCCTCAGACATGGCTCCTCTAGTCACTAGCAGATTCCGACAGTGGTTGCCTTCGGAATCGCTTCCAACATAAAAGCTCCTTAACGGAAACACGTCTTCTGGACTCTCTGCGTGACAGTTTCCGGCGAGGAGTGGGTGTTCCTACAGGAGGTCCTGAAACCTCCCCACTGTTTTCGCTGGAAGTGTCTCTGAGCCATCCCTCCAGCTCACTTTCCCTCACCTCAGCTCCTCTCCCCTACTGGTTCCCTCTTCAGCTGCTGAGTCTCTCCCAACCTGTGTGAGCCCTTTCACCTCCCTTCCTTCCGATGGCAGTTCCCTGACATCCACCTCCCCTCCAGGGCCCCTTTCACCCCCTCTCGCCCCTTCCTCTACGGGCGGTGAGGAGGCAAAACCCCGGAATGAACTTCCTTCATCTTCCGATGTCTCGAACACTTCTCTCCACCTGTTGCGGTTCCTGGTCTCGAAGTACTCCTCCTCCTCAGAGTCCATCTCCCTTCCCCTTCCGAGTCCGGGAATCCTTCCAACTCCTCCTCCTCATCAGTGGTCCCAAAGTATTCCCTCCGGAACCTCTCCACAGGCTGAGGTTTCCTTGGGAACCTTTGATGGAACGTTTCTATCAATACCTCGTCATTGATATCTTCGGTCATTACCCAAGTGTTTTCTGACTCCGGTTCTCCTTCCCACGCTACCAAATACTCCACCTGATCCCCCTTCCACCTGGCGTCGAGGATTTCTGCCACATGGCTGCTGCATTCTCTTTCTTCTATGACCGGTCCCCGAGTGGCCATCCCTTCTCGTCCCCCTTCGTACGGTGACAGTAACGACCTGTGAAATACTGGGTGCAGTTTCATGTGGTTGGGTAACCGGAGCCTGAAAGCCACTGGGTTGACCTGTTGAATGACCTCAAAGGGACCCAACCTCCTGGGTCTTAATTTCTTACAACCTCCTTTGAACGGCAACCCTTGGGTTGACAGCCACACCCTATCTCCCACCCTTATGGTTTCACCTTCCCTTCGGTTCTTGTCTGCCTGCCTCTTGTATTCTTCCTTCGCCCTTTCTAAGTTGAGTTGGAGCTGACGATGGATTGCTTCCATTTCTTCCACAAAATGCTCGGCTGCCGGGACGCTCCATCTCTCCCCATCTCCCCTGGGAAAGCCCTGGGATGACACCCATAATTAGCCAAGAAGGGGCTCATCCCTGTGGACACATTCTCGGCATTGTTGTAGGCAAATTCCGCCAGCGCCAACTTTTCTACCCAGTCATTCTCTCTGTCATTGACATAACACCTCAGGTATTGCTGGAGGACACCGTTTGCTCTTTCCGCCTGCCCGTTGGTTTCAGGGTGCCGGGCAGTCGAAAATTGACCTCCACCTGCAGTAAGCTCATGAGCTTCCTCCAGAACCTGGAAGTAAATTGTTTTCCTCGGTCTGAGACCACCCTCAATGGCACCCCGTGCAACCTAAAAATGTGTTCTACAAATAACTTCGCTGTCTCTTCCGCCGTGACTGCATGCGAGCAAGCTACAAAGTGGCACATCTTTGTTAGTAGGTCTACCACCACCATGATGGCGGTTTTCCCGTTGGACTTCGGCAGATCAGTCATAAAATCTATCGACACTGCCTCCCAAGGTCGTTCTGGGGTTGGTAAGGGTTCTAATAGCCCCGCCGGCGCCCGCCTTTCCCCTTTGGCTCGCTGGCATTGCTCGCACCCTCTTACATACTCACGTACATCTTCCCTCACCTTAGGCCACCAAAATTCCCTGGTGACCAACCACATGGTTTTGTGTTGTCCAAAATGCCCCGCCGTAGGGCTGTCGTGCAACTGCTTGAGTACCCTCCCCCTTAAGTCTCCTTCAGGGATATACAGTGCCCCTTTGTAATACAAAGCTCCATTTCTTTCCTCGAAACCCCCGGGTTCCTCTCCCTCACCCCTAAGACCTCTGAGCTTATTCTGGGCGTATTCATCATTCTCTGTTTCCTCTACCAGTTCTCTTTGTCCCACCAATGCCGCCCCACACACCCAGCGGTCCTCTGGAATGACATGTCTCTCTTCGGGTGCTCCCTCCCTCCAAATATTCAGGTTTGCGTGAGAGAGCGTCCGCCCTAATGTTCTCTGGGCCTGGCACGTAACCAATCTCAAAGTTAAATTTGGAGAACTCCTGGGCCCATCTCACTTGCCGTTGGTTGAGCACTCGTGCCGTCCTCCAATACTCTAGGTTCTTGTGGTCAGTGCACACTTGCACCTTATGTTGTGCGCCAATTAGCAGGTGCCTCCATCTCCGGAACGCCTCATGAATGGCTAGTAGTTCTCGGTCATACACCGTGTAGTTCCTCTCGGATTTGTTCAGCTTTCGCGAAAAAAGCACACGGTCTCCACTCTGACTCCTCCTTCCCTGGCTGCAGAAGCACCGCCCCAATCGCTCTGTCTGATGCGTCAGTTTCCACTCTCATCGGTTTTTGTAAATCCACATGCAGGAGTTGTTGTTCCGAGGCGAAGGCCCTTTTAGTTCCTCAAATGCTCGCTCCGCCTCCTCAGTCCAAACGAACTTCTTCTTACTGCTGAGACAGTCCGTAATGGGCGCCGTCAGGTGGGCAAAGTTTCGGATGAACTTACGATAGAAGTTCCCAAATCCTAGGAACCTCTGCACATCCTTCCTTGTTTTGGGTGTTTTCCATTCCAGCACCGCCTGGACCTTGCCGGGATCCATGGCCAATCCCTTGTCTGACAGGCGATACCCCAGGAATTCCACCTCCTTGGTATGAAACTGACACTTCTCCAGTTTCACCCACAGCTGGTTGGCTTGCAGCCTGCTCAACACTTCTCTGACGTCTCTCACATGCTGCTCCTCATTCTCAGAATACACCAACACGTCGTCTAAGAAGGCCACACAATTCTTGTAAAGCAAAGGCCCCAGGACGTGGTTCATAAACGATTGAAAGCATGCGGAGCCTGCTTGTAGGCCGAAGGGCATAACCAAATATTCAAATGCCCCTAAAGGGGTGAACATGGTGGTTTTCCATTCATCCCCTTCCTTATTCGTATCAGGTTGTACGCCCCCCTTAGGTCCAGCTTTGTGAAAATCTTTCCCTTCCGCACCCTTGTCAAAATGTCGTCAATCCTGGGCATAGGGAAGGCCACTGGTTCTGACACTGCATTTAAGGCCCTGAAGTCACACACCAGCCTCGGCTTGTTCGTTTTTTTTTATCCACAAAAAACACTGGGCTGCCCCCCCACCGCCCTGGACTCTCTGATGAACCCTCTCTTCAGGTTCTTGTCAATGAACTCTCTTAGCTCCTGCATCTCTCTGTCTGACATGGCATACAGCTTGCCTACAGGGAGCTGTGCCCCAGGGAGTAAATTGATTTGACAGTCAAAGGGTCTATGCGGGGGTAGTTGGTCAGCT